CAGTATAAACCTCTGTAAATAAGCAGGAGAAATACCTTAATATATAATAATATTTTGTGATAATACTCTTTATTTATGGGCTAATGTGGTGTATTTCGAGGTAAGACACTAAATCCTGGTGAAGTCTGGGAAACACATTGAAAGCTGGACTTTCAATGTGTTTCCCAGTAATCAGTAATCAGTAAAGGAGCCACTGATATATAGTTGTTGCACTATGAAAATTCCTTGAACCAGGAGGTCACTTGCACTTTGAACAGGTTTGAGTCCTGAAACAGGTCAGCTTTATGGTCATTTGGTCACATTTCAGTAGAATTGACAGTGTTTGTGTAACACTTTCAACACAGCGCAGGTCTAAACTTAAAGCTCAACGTTCAGACTGTGTTTTGTGCATCTTCAGGAGTTGCTTCGTCCATGTGAGTGGCCCTAAACAGCAGAGAGATGAATAATATTTGTGTGCCTGGGAGCAGGTGATGCAAATTGTGTAATCGGAGAGCACATTATACTTACATTATATTTAGTGACTCATCGTTTTGTGAGTTTGTGAGAAGAATGAAATCTGCATTTGATTTTCTAATGGAATATTCTTCTCGCTCTTATTTTGAAAGTTCAGTAGCTGCTTTCCGTTCATTGGCCAGGTTGCTGTTGTGGTGCTCTTCAGTATAATTCAGTAGTCCATGTTTGGACCTGCAGCAGGAGGAGAGCTCACACATGAACATGGACTGCTGTAGTCCAAGATGGTGGAGTTCATCACTGGAGAGCAGCTGTCTGTATTCGTTTCATTCTGGTGGACCTGGCACATAAAACATGTGCAAATAAGTAATTTTTTTAAAAACTACACAGGTGTTTTCCAAGCAGACTCTTCCAAACATTACTACGACAGTTAAAAGCAGTCGTTCATGGAGTCTGCAGAGTGAATGATTGTTTGAATGAGTTTAATAGAGCTGGTGCAAACACTGCTTATTGCTGTGTTTGTGAGTGAAACAAGTATTTTGTAGGTTTAATTATCGTGTGCGCTGCGGCACTCACTGCCACTGTCTTGGGTTTGTCTGGATCAAGTTGTCACTGAATGTTTGAATGACAAAACTCATTGCTTTAAAACATTAATGAAGCTGGCAAAGCTACATATCCCATGTCTGACATGGTCTTTATATACAGATGAGGAGTGGAGGATGTGAGCATGAAGGCCAGGTCACAGGGCTTAAAGGCTCACGAGGGGAGAAGCGACTAATCCCTGCAGACGGACCATTGGAGCCACTGTGCTGCAGAGAGAGAAGGAAAGGAAAGGAGGAATGAAGGGAGACGAGATATTCAGAGATGAAGACTCAGATGGAGGGAGGGGAATGAGCAGTAGAGTGAATAGAGAGCAGACGTATGGGCTGAGCAGAATGACACGGCAGAGAAGGATGGACTCGAAGGTGAAAAGAGAGGGAAGGGCTGTAAATGCAGACAGCGTGATGGTGGATGGAGTGTGAGCACAGCGCAGACTGGAAACAGCAGCAGCTTTTTTTCATGATGCAGCTGTTTTTCAGCTCCATTCACACGGCGAGCAGCGGGCTCTCTGCCCTGCGTGGCTGCTGTGCAGCTCCCTGATAACTGCTTTAAAAAAGGACCCGGCTTCTTTCCATTGCAATCATGCTGTGCTTGCAGTGCAGGTAGTGCTGCTAAAACATAAGAATATAAAGCTGAACATAAGCATATGTGGTTAGGCCTTAAAGACCAATTACCACTAAGCCTTAGCCTAAGCTACTACTCGCAAACAACATATGCTAAACATCTTTATGCGCTATTAAAAGCAGGCCTTATTTGGGCCAACTCATTCACCACATGAGTGCAGATGTTACAGCAAAAGTCATAATCCCTGGAGCTGTATGCTGTAGCTCAGTAAACCGCATGTGATGAACTTAAAATGTCAATAAATGCATGTAGATGACAGTGAGGTGTCAGGGTGAGCTTGAGGCTGTTTTTGACCATAAAGCTTGGTCGCTGCACGCCAGCAGTCAGATGGGGTGAAGAGAGCAGCAGGCGGCAGTGAACTTGGACGCCATGATGCGGCCAACTGCAGCCCGGGAGGGTAACCCTGAGTGATAAATAGTTCACCTGTAGCGACCTTATGAATTTAACTGATATACAAACAAGTCATCGTGAAAATTCCTGCACAGCAGCTCGATATTCTTAAGAAGCAAACTGTGGACTGTCATCTTTTTCCCTCCTTTGACTTTCAAACTAGTGGAATTTTATTCATTTTGAATAAGAACTCAAAACGTCTTTAGTGACTTATTATATATATTATTATTAATTCTGTATAATATATTATTAATTTTAGCTCTAATTTCTAATCTCCACAGATGGAAGAACTACTGGATACGAGGAGTTCTGTCTTTAGCCATGATTTCTGGCTTCTTCCTCATTATATATATGGGACCTATTGCTCTAATACTTGTGGTAAGTGTCTTCTTT